GGTGGATTCTGGTCCTTCGTCCAGAGCGAGTCGAAAGGATGACGATTTCGCGTTGACGAACTCCACCGTGACATGAAACGACAGGGACGTGAGAGAGCATCCGATGATACCGAATTCCGGGACGCCATTCGCGGTCGGAAAAGGGAGAATGCCCAGGATCGGCTGTAGGGATTGTCACGTTCCGCTGCGAGCATCCTAAAGGATTCATGGATGGTGCTTCCCTTCACACTAAAATATGCTTCGCCGCGCGCTCGGGCCGAGATGGAAGACGTTGGGATGTCCGCATGTTACACAGACAGCCTCGAAAGGTAATGTAACAAGGCAATGAGGGTGATTTTTGGACTGGTAACTTCAGCGTCACCTTACCTGGTTATCTTACCTTCAAAACGTGTTCGTGCAGCAAATGTCCTTTCACGAAGTCACACAGACACATTATGAAGGTACGAAAACCAAGTAAGGTGACGGTGAAGTTACCAGTCCAAAAACCACCCTCATATCCTTTTTACTTTACCTTTCGAGGCTGTCTGTGTAAGGTGTATGCACCTTCTTCCCAATGACACATCCTTTCCCAGGCACATCTCCGGTCAAGTTAATGGGTCCAAGCCCCTCCACCCTCCCCTTAATGCGGGTCGTTTACGGCCTCTTAGAATGCGGTTCTCAAAGGGGGTCGGCGGTATAACGGTCAATGACAAAGCAGGGCATTTTTCCAAATCTCTTCCCTCCAGGGAATATCGTTCAACCAGGATTATCCCGTCCATCACCTTGCACTTTTTTTTCCGAATGTATCAAATTTGTTCTTGAACTTTTTCAGCTTTTTCGGTTTTATTTTGAGCAACTATTGTTTTTTTTTTAATATATTCAATTTTAATTCCCGGGGGATGTTCAGATGACTGTTTCCTCACCTTCCATTTCAGTCACGAGAAGAAAAATCCTTGATATAACCGTCCTCGAGGCACGAATTCATGAAAATAATGGAAATATCATAACATTCGCAAAAACTCATTTTTCTTAGAGATGAAATGTGAGTCCCCTCTTTCTTGCCACCATCAGGGACGACCGAAGAGGCCGGCGATTACAACGGAAGGATGAGTGCAACAATTTCGTCGGCCGCCGATCCGTTAAGCCTTGGAGGAACCCGGAAGACCGTTCTTCCGGCCTTCCGGAACTCCGGATTATCCGGATCCGGAGATCGGATTAATCAGGGTTCGTACTGCAACCCAAGGGCGCTCCGCGTGCCTTGGCGTTTCATCGATGATCCGAGGTGAGAAATCCGGCATGTCCCCTTATGGGACTGTCCATTTAACAAGCCGCTCTCGGTGAACTCCGTCAACGACTTGGGTTTCTAACCAAATGTCATCAAGGACAGCGACAGACGTGTCTATTTCGGAAGTAGGATGCAACCCGGACCTGAGCTTCGGTCGCTTTGCCGTGAGAAACGGACAGAACGGGAACGCGATACGTTGTCGGAAATAGTGAATGATGGGTGAATGGTACGGCGGAATTCGTCTGCATGCGTCTAACATCATATCAGACGAAGAAAATGAGAATGTTGGTGCAATGGGCATTCCGAAACGTTCATTGTTGGAGTGAAACCCCTCGCCTACTTCGAGAGAAGGGGAGGAGCAGGTGATGAGCCAGGGCGAAGAGAAAACTCCTGCTTGTCGTGGGACATATAAGCTCACAGCATTCCTTGAATGCTGTGAGCTTTTTTCTTGCGGGACTTTTTTCTCCGCGATATCCTCCGAAGAACGCAATCTCGCGAGCTCGGTTCCTCGTATCCAAGCTCTCATTGTATCCATGCCGAAGCACTGCAGGTGCCCAGGTCTGCACAGGGCCTTGGGGACTTGTCTGCGACTATACTAATTAAAGCAATCGCGATGATCCGATGCAGTAATTAGTATGGGAGACGTCCCGTTCTGGGCCGACTCCACTCGGTCCGTTATCACGCATGAATTAATGTCGGTTTTCTTCTTCCGCCGCATCTTTTTTCTCGCAGATCCACCGGAACGGATGTCGAACTTAAAAAGGGGGAACACGTTGGGAACGAATACGTGAGGTTATCGCAGTTACGCCACGCCGGATCAGCCGAGGAAAAATTAGGGATACGATTGCCGTAACGCGTCTGGGAACATTCCAGACGAGAGTCGCGGATCATCCCCAGAGGATAATCCCACGGCAGCGGGTGTTAAACCGGCACTGGCTCGGGGCAGGTATGGGAAAAACGAGAACTCTTTCACTTTCGCCTCTTCGTGGCTTCGATTTTCTCCCGACTACATCATATGCTATATATGTAAGATATGTGATATACGCTTATTTCCAGGCTCAGACTCATCAACTTTACTACTGCTGCAGCCTAATCCCGTAAGCTGCTCATGATTCTTTTAGCCCTCCACTCTACCCATTCGAGCGCTGTTAAATCACTGTTACGCTTTTCACGTTTTTTCACGTTTCGCTGAGGTAAAATGCGATCGAGGCGTCCTGAATTTCCACTCACGAAAGAGTGAATTTATTCACGAGTTCGCCGAAATTCCTTGCTTCGTCTTCTTCTTCGGCCAGCCACGACACGGTGCGAGCCGGGTGAAAAAGAGAATTGAATAGCCATCTGTCGAGAGTTCGGTGGCCGTGCAAGAGCTGCAGGGCTTCCTCGATGAAGCTGTCGCAGAGGCCGAGCTGGCCTTGCTTCGAGCTGAAGCCGATACCTTCGCGGAGAACCAGAAGATTTTCTTTTATCTGGCACAGATCAGGTCTTCACCGCTCCCGTCGAATTTCGTCATTTCCTTGTCGCAACATAATGTCTCTCCATGGTAGGTGGGGGAGCGAGGCGGTCTCCGAGGTCTGATGGGTGCGGATACAAATGGCAGGGTGGCGATCCAAGGGATATCCACAGTGCTTCTTCCAGGTCTGATTTTTATCTCAAGATGTCATTGATGTTGAAGCAACATCTGGTTATGAAGTATATCCTCCTCTCTTTTTTCCAATTGTTTTTGCCGAATGCTGGAACGGGAATTCCTCTGTTTTTCTGTCTCAGAATTTGACTGAATATTACACTCGATGGTCTTCATTCTTTGCGAAGTTAATAATATCTAATATCCCGTCGAGGAAACTAAAAAAAAAAAATAATTATGTCAATTTACATAGTGGACACGATGTATTATGGCAGAAATCGCTGTTGCGAACTCGGAAAGGCTTTTATTATTTCTTTAATTTTGCCACGCAAATGTGACTGCTGGATTCATGATGAAGATAAAGTCCAATTCATACTGCCACTACAGTCCCATCATGGTCAATTCGAACAGTAACATTCTTTTTAACTTACATGCTCGTCAATGAGAAAGAATCCCTCAATCATTCTTAAATTTATTCAATAAGAATTAAAATATCAATACCGCAATATATTAGGATCGTCGTCGAACATGGAGAAGTCGAAACGGCCTTCCTCAAATTCCTTCACGTATTCCTGGAATGGATCGAATTCGTCCTTCATCGCGAGGGCCAGTTCCGCCATCGCCCGGGCGTCTTCGAGGTACTTGATCCTCTGTCTGAGGTCGGGTCGGGCTTCCTGCTTCTCCGCCTGGATCAGGATGTCGATGTAGTCGGCGATCCCGATCGGGTTCGGCTTCAGGGCGATTTCGTCGAGCCGTCGGAGGCAGGCGTGCGCTCGCTGGGTCAGGATGAGGAATTTCGCCATCTCCTCGTTAAATTCCCGGGCGAGGGCGATAACGATTCCTTCCGCGTTCAGTCTCTTCCCGGTCACCTGCTCGTGTTTCGCCTTTGCGTCGTCGGAAGTCTTCGTTTCCTCTTCCTCCGTGAGTTCGAAGCGGTATTTGCCGTTGACGTGTTCCTTCCAGTCGCATCGGAGGGGGCAGACCAGGCATCTCCCCGTCGATGCATCTATGACGTCGCACTCCTTCTTTCGCTCATCGATTCGCACGGTGCAGGGGAAGCAGCAGGTGAAGTTGCACTTGAAGCAGTTCGTGACCGACTCTCCAAACCTCAGTTCCACTTTCGTCTGTTTCTGGACCTTCCCCCTATAGGAGAAGTTCCTGTTGGCATCCATATCTTCTTCGTGCTTGCTCAATATTGCTAGTTCTTGCCTCGTACGTTCCAGGCCACCCAAACCTCACCATGGAAAGTGATTTTTGCATTTAATGTAAATTTGTGCAAGATATTCTAATCCAAAAGAAATACCCTCCGCTTATTGAGCGTTTTTAAGCGAGAATTGGTTACAGTGGTTATCAATTACACTTGGCTTTTAGAGTATTATGCTAAATGGAACACCCAACTTGAAATATCTATATTCTATGAAGACCAAATTCCCCCTTTGCATTGGAATGTTCAGAAATAACCAGGAACACAATTTGGACATCATTAATATCTGTTTTCCCCAGATGACTCAGGAATCTCATTGCTCATTCGAAATACGTGTTAATTGAAATTCGGACCAGTTTAAATGAATCTGTTTTTTTTGTGCTCCCAATGGTGACAAATGATAGCGTTCGGTGGCAGTTTATTTGAACAAGTTCCTTTATCGGTTTTCACCTGGCTTTTAGGATATTTTTTCTCGTTCTCTTGAAGAGGGGGTAAAATAGTGACAATCAAGTGATATACACGTTATATCGGTTTGTACTTAAGCAAAATATTGATAATGAAGTGTAAAGTTGAGAAAAATAGGCAACAAAGAGGAGTTATTCCTCGAAAATTTCTATTCGTTTAGGAAATTGTAGGAATTTCGTTTCGGAGAGTTGATCGTAGTGTGATCTCACCTGCGTTGATTTGCCGTTGCAAGCCTTGGAGCGCAATCTCCAAGCGTCGTCTCTCTTGCAGCACTTACTTCGTTAGTGTCAGACTGACGGGTTTGGTGTCCCTGATCTTCCTGAAGAACGTTTTGAAGCTAGCGATGCCGATTCCCCAGAACGCCTCGCTCAGTGCGTCAGACCTGTCAGTCGATGCGAAGAGGGCGGAGTTGTTAAACTTGATGTAATCCTTGTAAGGGATCCCGGCTTCCCTCAGGGCCGCCAGCACGGGGGGAGATTGGTTGTCCGCGGAGGTGACGAGCGCAAAGATTCTGTCTCTGACGTCGCTGCCGAACACGGAGGGAACCGAGTTGAAGATGTAGACTTGAGTGGGCGTGAGCCTCACGGAAGGGGCTTCGACGACGAAGCAGATTCCGTCGAGCTGATCCACGCCCTCGTCTCCTCCCTTCGAGAAGAAAACCCGAATTTGCTCCTGTAGTTCCCGATCCGCCCGAATCCCTTCCGTGTCTCCGAACCCCGGAGTGTCGACGACGGTCAGCGCGTACGGCAGTGCGAACCCTTTTTCCCCGTGGAGGACGTACGCCGTGATCCACTTCGTCTGGCTTTTGGTTTGGGACCTCCCGTTTGCTTCGTCAGAGACCAGCCTCAGTCGGAAATTATCCAGCCATTTCACTGTATGCGCGTAGTTCGCGATTCTGTTGTTACTTCCCTCTCATAATCTACGCTAAGGGGACATATTTCAAAAGTAGGATTTTTCCTGAACTCAGCAATCAAACAGGTACTTCTGAGGGAAGTTTACATTTTCTGTCTCTGTTTTATCTCACCCAATTTCAGCCTTATACGTTTCCTCTTTTTGCAGGCGGAAAACATGTATTTGAAAAAGCGATCCACCCAAAAGCTGCTTCTTTTCTATTTCTGCCCGATTCTCTATGAAAAGAGAAAAACTCTAAAAACGTTACGTCCCCAAGAAATATGAACCCCAAAAATATGTTGGAAATTTGACATTTGACGTTTTGAGCTCAGTGCGTCAGCAGTCACATTCTGCCAAGTTTCAGCTTCCTATGTGTCTCCGTTTGATTGAAGCAATGAGAACTATTTGAAAATATGTACCCCGAAAGGTGTGGTCCTATGGCAGTGGCGATCGTCTACATATAATAAAAGTATAATTTTTTCTTTAATGAGCTATCCATTACGTACTTATTTGTCAAGTTTAGACTTTCTAGCGCCTTCTGTTTTGCTAGATCAGAAAATTTGGGAAAATACGTATTTTTTAAAATAAGTGCCCTGAGTCGTTTTAATCAATAAGTACCTTTTTTTTTTACCGAAATCCAGCTTCAGGGAATTACATGCCCATAAAGTTTCAATATTATACGTTTGCCCTTTTCGCTAGTGAAAAAACATGTTTCGAAAAGCCGACCAACCCAAATGCTATGCCCGGAGAGGATGCACTATGAAACCTGAATACTCCCTCAGCTCAGTAATATCATGTCACATATTCCTGTGCCAAGTTTCACCTTTCCATTTCTGTCCCATTCGCGACAACAAATCAGTTTAACTGATGCAAAAAAATAGTCAAAAACATCTCACTTTGAAATTTGCACCCCCAGGGCATTTACTTCTAAAGTTTGAAGTTTTCTGGAGCATCCAAATAGGTACTTATGTACCAAGTCCCATCTTTCCACACCAGCTCAATACGCCAGAAAAAAAAAATACTTAAAAACGTCGCCTCACAAAAATATGCCCCCAGGGCATGGATCTAAAGTTTTTCATTTTTCCTGAACTCATTGTCTCGGTAGGCACGTACATGCCTAGTTTCAGTTTTCCATGTTTCTCCGTTTTACTGTCTGGCAAACAAAGCCAAAAGAGAGCCAAGGTTTGGCTGGGTATTGAACCCAGTCCTTCTGATTACCAGTCAGAGACGCTACTACTACACCACCGCACCAAGCTCGAACAATCAACACTATGAATGTCATTATCATCTGTCACAAAATATATTTAAGAAAAACGTTTCCCCCCAAAATTCGTACCCCCAGGGCATGTACCTACAAAGTCTGATTTTTTCTGAACTCTGCATACCAAAAGGTACATGTGTACCAAGTTTCAGATTTCTAACTTATCTAGAACATGGTTAGAATTAGCGTCAGTCAGTCAGCCAGTCAGTCAGTCACGATCGTCTATATATATTAGATGTGCATGTTTCGCCGAAATAACTCTATTGTGAGGTAGGACATTAAGGTTGAAATTCGTTGGTCTTTCTTTAGCCCTACTCCGTATGAGTGCCAATACGTCTTTTCATTTCTTTGGCATACCGAAGTTGAAAAGTTACATTTCGTGCGAATATTCATGCCTCCCCTGTATTGGAAAAAGCGACATTGCAGCAACCTCACCTGCGCCTGTAGCCCCGACGACCATGAGCACCTTCGTCGGTCCGCTGTTGGGTCTCCGCCTGCCGACTTCGTACTTCGCGAGTCGATGGGCGGCGTCTTCCATCACTTTCCTCTTTGGGAGTTCGCGGATCCCATGAGACGGCTTGGGATTCTCGTTCGCCTCCTGAGCCGGCGATGGATGGGAGGGGCTCCCGCGATACCGGGTGGAACTCGTCTGCACCGTTAAGGGAGTGTGGGTTCCACTTTTTACATTTTACTTCGGGGATTGTGGGTGGTTGACGAGGTTGCATTGAATATGTGATGCACATACTTATGTGAGGCGATAGAAATTACTGTTCAATCTCTGATCTCACATAAGCTGAATGGAAATATTCCGTGATCTTCGATGATGGCTTAGAAGAGACTTAAAGGCTTTCAGACATGGACCATTTCAGTTCGGGAGCACTACTAGACATTCGCATTCTGCTAAAATTGATACCTGTTAGGCGTAAGTCACGCTTTCTGACATTAACAGCTTATTTTGTCAAATATTTTAAAGCTCCAGTTTTTAAAATCCTTGGATTACCTGGTTCTCATCCTCAACGGTTCGGAAATCCCAGCTGACAGTCGGACTAGGTGGCCCAATGCCGAGGTCACTGGATGCAGCTACCTATGGATCAAAACAACGGAAAATATTAAGGAATTTTATTTAGTTCTTTGAATCGATTCTCTCTTGTTTTGCGCAGCATCTGGCCACAGAGGTGAAGGCAATTCTTGAAGCGAGAAATATGAACGAAAAACATGTGAATGAGGGCATCGTGCCTCATCTTAAAATGGAACGTTGAAAGATTTTGTGGTACCCAAATTCCAATCGTTCAAATAGGCAATTTACCTGATTGTTTGCGGAATTAAACACCCGATGTGATGATGTATTCCATGAAGTAAGAATAAGCGCTCATTGTGATGCCAATTGATTGATTTGTTGTTTTACATCAAGGACATCACTAAGAGCTGTATTCAATCTTGTGGCGAAATTTTTTGCGTACCATGAGCATGGACCCGTCTGAATCAATAGAAACTGACCTTGAAGAAGTATTCCTGCCCTGGAACCAGCCCAGAAATCCTCGCGACCGTCGCCTCGGCGGAGGCACATTTCCAGCGACCCTGCGGATCGCCCTGAGCTCGGAACGAGACGTCGAACTGTCGGACCCACTCGGCGCCGACGTCCAGCGAACTTCTGCGGCCGCGCCGTCGGCCGAGACGCGTTGGTCCCTGGGTTCCCCCGGAGGGACGAACAGGGACATCCCGTCGATTCCTCGGCTGAGCCTGATGAGGCAGGGACCGTCGAATCCGGTGGCTTCTGCGGCGATGAAGGTGAACGGGCTTCCCTGCTCCCAGGCGTAATGAAGGAATATGCGCTGGTAGTCGAACAATTGGAGGACTTCGTCGTGGTTGCGATAGATTGAGGGAGAAGGCTCGAGGGGAAGATCCGGTTCGTTTCCGTTCAAGAAAGAGTTGAGGCCTTCTAGGTAGAGATCGACGTCGTCGAGGCCTTTATAAAAGAAGCATGCCGTCGGCCTCGTTTCGCTGAGGTGAAATGCGATCGAGGCGTCCTCAATTTCCACTCCGGAACGAGTGAATTTATTCACGAGCTCGTCGAAGTTCCTCGCCTCGTCTTCTTTTTCCGCCAGCCACGACGCGATGTGACCCGGGTGAAAGGGGAATTTAATAGCCATCTGTCGAGAGTTCGGTCGCCATGGAAGAGCTGCAGGGCTTCCTGGATGAAGCTGTCGCAGAGTCCGAGTTTGCCTTGCGTCGAGCTGAACGCGATGCTTTCGCTGAGAACCCGAAGATTTTCTTAGATCTGGCACAGATGAAATGTCAGGTCTTCACCGCTCCCGTCGAATTTCGTCATTTCCTTGTCGCAACATAATGTCTCTCCATGGTAGGTGGGGGAGCGAGACGGTCTCCGAGGTCTGATGGGTGTGGGTACAAATGGCAGGGTGGCTATCCAAGGGATATCCACAGTGGTTCTTCCAGGTCTGGTTTTTGTCTCAAGATGTCATTGATGTTGAAGCAACATCTGGTTGTGAAGTATATTCTCCTCTCTTTTTTCCTGTTTACTTTGCCGTATGTTGGAACGAGTATTTCTGTTTTTGTAGGCGGCTCCGACGTGAATTGACATTGATGACTCACGAACGGACCACCAGCGTGTCCGAGGTTACAATGACTCCGTTGACTCCTCGTTTGTAACACGGTACATTTATTAAGACAACCAGTATTGGGTGGGATCAATAACAGTAGGGATTCGAACAGGGATATTTGGAACCATGTTGGGATCTATTGCGTCAGGTGATGGATGGACAAGGCATATACAAGAATGAATACCTGAATGGATGTTAGTGAGCGACTCCCAGCACTCAAACCCGACCCGATCAGGGTACAACACATGTCCCGCATCTTTACTACAGTCCTCACAATACCACACACTCTCGATTCCCGTCCCGACAACTGCGCTGCTGCTACTCTACTCACTTGAATATCCCCGACTCCACCCGACCCGACTCGACTCGACCCTTTTATTCCGTTATGCCGGACATGCGCATTATCTTTTACTGTTATTTCATCATCTTTATAAAAGTACCTCCTACATTTTTCTGTCTCAGAATTTGACTGAATATTACACTCGATGGTCTTCATTCTTTGCGACCATCCGAGCTTCTTCAGCAGTAATGTCCCGTTTTGGAAGATAAAAAAAATCCTTATGTCAATTCACATCGTGAACACCGTGTATGATGGCGGAAATCGCTGTTGCGAACTCAGAAATACTTTTTTATTATTTCTTTGCTTTTGCCTCTCAAATGAGATTTCCTGATGTCGATAATGTCCAATTCACTCTGTCACTACAGTCCCATCATGGCCAATTCGAACAATAACATTCTTTTTAACTTACGCGCTCGTCAATAAGGAAGAATCACTCAATAATTATTGAATTTATTTATTAAGAATTAAAATATCAATACCGCAATGGATTAGGTTCGTCGTCGAACATGGAGAAGTCGAAACCGCCTTCCTCAAATTCCTTCACGTATTCCTGGAATGGATCGAAATCGTCCTTCATCGCGAGGGCCAGTCCCGCCATCGCCCGGGCGTCTTCGAGGTACTTGATCCTCTGTATGAGGTCGGGTCGGGCTTCCTGCTTCTCCGCCTGGATCAGGATGTCGATGTAGTCGGCGATCCCGATCGGGTTCGGCTTCAGTGCGATCTCGTCGAGCCGTCGGAGGCAGGCGTGCGCTCGCTGGGTCAGGATGAGGAATTTCGCCCTCTCCTCGTTGAATTCCCTGGCGAGGGCGGTAACGATTCCTTCCGCGTTCAGTCTCTTTCCGGTCGCTTGCTCGTGTTTCGCTTTCGCGTCGTCGGAAGTCTTCGTTTCCTCTTCCTCCGTCAGTTTGAAGCGGTATTTCCCGTTGACGTGTTCCTTCCAGTCGCATCTGAGGGGGCAGACCATGCAGCTGCCCGTCGATGCATCTATGACGTCGCACTCCTTCTTTCGCTCGTCCATTCGCACGGTGCAGGGGAAGCAGCAGGTGACGTTGCACTTGAGGCAGTTCGTGACCGACTCTCCAAACCTCAGTTCCACTTTCGTCTGCTTCTGGACCTTCACCCTGTACGAGAAGTTCCTGTTGGCGGCCATATCTTCTTCGTGCCTTCTCAATATTGCCAGTTCTTGCCTCAGACGTTCCAGGCCACCCAAACCTCATGAAGGAAAGTGATTTTTGCATTTAACGTAAATTTGTGCTAAATATTCTAATCCAAAAGAAATACCCTCCGCGTATTGAGCGTTTTTAAGCGAGAATTGGCTACAGTGGTTATCATTTACACTTGGCTTTTAGAGTATTATGCTAAATGGAACACCCAACTTGAAATATCTATATTCTATGAAGACCAAATTCCCCCTTTGCATTGGAATGTTCAGAAATAACAAGGAACACAATTTGAACATCATTAATATCTGTTTTTCCTAGATGACAGAGGAATCTCATTGCTCATTCGAAATACGTGTTAATTGAAATTCGGACCAGTTTAAATGAATCTGTATTTGTTTGTGTTTCCAGTGGTGACAAATGATAGCGTTCGGTGGCAGTTTATTTGAACAAGTTCCTTTATCGTTTTCACATGGCTTTTAGGATATTTTTTCTCGTTCTCTTGCAGAGGGGGAAAAAGAGGGACAATCAAGTGATATATATACGTTATATCGATTTGCACTTAAGCAAAATATTGATAATGAAGTGTAAAGCTGAGAAAAATAGGCAACAAACAGGAGTTATTCCTCGAAAATTTATACTCGTTTAGGATATTGTAGGAATTTCGTTTTGGAGAGTTGATCGTAGTGTGATCTCACCTGCGTTGATTTGCCGGTGCAAGCCTTGGAGCGCAATCTCCAAGCGTCGTCTCTCTTGCAGCACTTCCTTCGTTAGTGTCAGACTGACGGGTTTGGTCTCCCTGATCTTCCTGAAGAACGACTTGAAGCTTGCGATGCCGATTCCCCAGAACGCCTTGCTCAGTTCGTCAGACCTGTCGGTCGATGCGAAGAGGGCGGAGTTGTTGAACTTGAAGTAATCCTTGTAAGGGATCCCGGCTTCCCTCAGGGCCGCCAGCACGGGCGGAGATTGGTTGTCCGCGAACGTGACGAGCGCAAAGATGCTGTCTCTGACGTCGCTGCCGAATAGTTGTTGAACTTGAAGTAATCCTTGTAAGGGATCCCGGCTTCCCTCAGGGCCGCCAGCACGGGCGGAGATTGGTTGTCCGCGAATGTGACGAGCGCGAAGATGCTGTCTCTGACGTCGCTGCCGAACACGGAGAGAACCGAGTTGAAGATGTAGACTTGAGTGGGCGTGAGCCTCACGGAAGGGGCTTCAACGACGAAGCAGATTCCGTCGAGCTGATCTACGCCCTCGTCTCCTCCCTTCGAGAAGAAAACCCGAATCTGCTCCTGTAGTTCCCGATCCGCCCGAATCCCTTCTGTGTCTCCGAACCCCGGAGTGTCGACGACGGTCAGCGCGTAAGGCAGGGCGAACCCTTCTTCCCCGTGGAGGACGTACGCCGTGATCCACTTCGTCTGGCTTTGGGTTTGGGACCTCCCGTCTGCTTCGTCTGAGACCAGCCTCAGTCGGAAATTATCCTGCCATTTCACTGTATGCGCGTAGTTCGCGATTCCGTTGATGAGGGTACTCTTCCCTAAGGGGAGAAGTGAACTACTTTGGTGAAAAACCGACCGACAGAAATGATTTTTTCTTGTTGATGTTATTAGTATTGCGACAAATTGATGAAATTTTATCGGATATATTGCTAATTTTCAGGATTGACATGACTCAGTGTACAGTAACAAATAATATCCTCATTCCCTGGAGTATCCAAGCATAATTGCACTTGATCTTTTCACAAGTGTGCATGGAGCGATTACATGCATTATAATTCACCAATGTCTTCCGTTTCTTGTGCCAATTATTTGTCAGCATCAACTGAATCGCAATGAGGTGCAAGAGTCATTGTAATTTGGTGACAACGACGCCATTCCTTGTGACTAGCACTTTCATGTCTCATGGGAAACGGCAAAAAAAGAGGAACGACTTTCAGGCTAAACTTCTACGCTCCCAATCGATTGATTTTCGCGAAACTTTCACATTCCATGTACGAGTATGGTTTACGGCGCAACTATTTTGGATGAAGTTCGAGGTATCCGTGGGAAACATACTCATATACGAGGGTCACTCAATAAGTTATCTACCTGAATAAGAAAGAAACATCCGAGGGGAAAAATAAAAATTTATTTTTCAATGTAGTCACCTTTTAACTAAACACACTTATTCCACTTTGATTCCAAGGATTTTCTTCCCTGGGAATAGAAGTCAACTTTTTGTCCATCAAACCACTCAGAAACGGCAACTTTCAGCTCTTCACTGCATGAAAATCTTTTTCTCTGCAAAAATATTTTCAAGTGTCTGAACGGAAAATAGTCACTAGGAGCCAGATCCGGGCTGTAG